AGATTCGAGGATGGCTTCATGGTGGATGTGTGGCACCGCGGCTGCCATGAGCACACATGCAAGGGAAGGTATAGGGTTATGTTGAGACAAGAGCGAGGAAAAGAGGAGGTTTCTGACTACACCGCCGAGTCGAAACATGGGGTACCCTACTTGGGGGTTCATGGGTAGTTATTAAGTAGGGTGATAAGTAGGCTAACTATAGTTACGACCCAATTAACGGACTCATAACTCCACTTATAAGTGCCCATGAGCCTCCAAGTAGACCCTAAATCCTATGCTAGAGATCCGGACTGAGCTTTCCCTTCAGGGGGCCGATCCAGCGGAAGCAAACCCAACCCCGGCTCAACACCATCATCCATGCAGGTCAATGTAGGGGCCTTACTGCGTGTAAGAGGGGTGGGGGGGGGGGGGATTGCTATAATAACATAGGTTTTTTTACAAGCACGTAAGAAAGTATTGCAATCCCTAAACCCCTAAGCCCCAGAACCCTAAACCCTAAACCCAATCCTCCCCCAATTTCTTGAAAGCGAAAGTCGAATCGAAGTCATTTCGGAGGGTCGGCTAAGGGCCACTCCTGCCGATCGAAAACCCCAAAGCCTGATCCGAAAGCACTCTCCAAAGCAAATATCAGGGCCTGAATATTTCGAATAGGGTTTCTTAACAGGGTTCCGTAAAGGGCTACTATGAGGGTTTAGGGTTTGGGGGCCTTAATAGTGAGAACAGGGTTTTGGGGGTTCCTTCGTTCAATATACCTCAAAACCCTACTCTAACTATTAAGGCCCCTACATTAGGTGGGGCATCACCGAGCCCACGCCCATGAACTACACCTTCGAAGCCTACAAGGAGCTTGTGAAGGAGGCAGCGGAACCCAGAGAGCCCAATCCCCCATAATCAAGGAATACCCCCAAAATCATAGTATGAAGGCCTCTATAATTTAAGGCACTGTATTCCTTAATTAAGGGGTACCGGGTTCTCTGGGTACCAGGTGGCCAAAAAGGCATATATATTCCTTAATTAAGGGGTGTATTGGGTTCTCTGGGAAGATCAGCACCCGAAAAGATTATGGGGAGTGAGGGTTCAGGGCTTAGTCTAGGACATTTTCAGGTGGGTAGTTGCCGTTATAGGAGCCGTATAAGGGGTCTATATACCTTATAGAAGCTTGGGGAGTGAGGGTTCAGGTTTTAGGCTCAGAAGGGTTTAGGGCTTAGGCTCTGAAAGGGCGTTTAGGGTTCTTAGGGTTTCAGGGTTTTTAGGGCTTGGGGTTCTTAGGGGTTTATAAGGGTGTTTGGGGTGTTTACGGTTTTTTAGGGCTTTAGGGAGCCGCTGAATAATCCTCACAGCCTCGAGCCTGTGGGTCCTAACCCTGAACCTCCCGGCGTCGCTGCATAGAACTCCCCTGCTCGCGCGGCTACAGCTAAACCTCAACTCTAAACCCAGAGAGCCCAACACCCCTTAATTAAGAAATTTCCCTTAAATTATAGGGGCCTTAACATTATGATTTATTATGATTTAAGGTATATATTCCTTAATTAAGGGGTATTGGGTTCTCTGGCAACCCTGATTCCTAATGTTGTGGGCTATGGGCCGCAGGCCCCCTGACCCAGCATAACCGGGGGTCTAGGCTGAGTTGTAGTATGACTGAACCGGGGAAGACTAGCAGATACGGTTGATGTTACAAATCCTGCATTACCTTAAGGACGCTAAAACTGTGGGAATTATGGCACCTTCCTTAGTATGGGTAATGCAGGGTGTATATATCATCAACCGTATGATCCCTAAACCCTAACAAAACCCTAAACCCCTAAACCCTAAACCCCTAAACCCCTAAACCCTAAACCCCTTATATGATCAACCCTATGATCCCTAAACCCTAAAAAACCCTAAACCCTAAACCCTAAATCATCAACCCTATGATCCCTAAACCCTAATCCCACGGCCCCCAACAAGATAAGGAGCTCCGCAGACCTCAAAAGTCTCCTGAGCCCTGAAATCCCCCCACCTGGGGGGGTTCATGGGTAGTTGTAATTAGGGTTATAAAGTAGGATCACTATAATAGTTATTACCCTAATTTAGAGGACGTATAACTCCACTTATAACTACCCATGTACCCTAAACCCATGAACCCCTAAAGCCCTAAACCCTAAACCCCTAAAGCCCTAAACCCCTAAACCCTAAGCCCTAAACCCCTAAAGCCCTGAACCCCTAAACCCCTAAACCCCTGCACCCCTAAAACCCTAAACCCCTAAACCCCTAAAGCCCCTAAGCCTCCAAGCAGAGTGCCCCCCGACAGGCCAAGGCCAGGAACCTCACTGCTATTATTATTGTTATTATTATTGTGATGATTATTGTCATTACTATTGTTGTCATTATTGTCATTATTGTTGTTATTATTATTGTTATTAAAATTTCTGTTACTATTATTGTTGACAGGCCAAGGCCAGGAACCTCACGGTGCAGATGGTGGGCTCCTTCCACCAGTGCGGTGGTAATATTGGTGCCCATGGCAGCAGGGTTTATGGGCTTAGGGTTTAGAGTTTAGGGCTTTTTGGGGTTTAGGGCTTAGGGCTTTTTTGGGTTTAGGGCTTTTTTGGGTTTAGGGGTTTAGGTTTATGGGCTTTGGAGGGCAGAGTTAGGGCTTGGGGCGGTGGCTTTCGCGAGTTTCGTGTATTTCGGGTCTGGTGATGTGCATCTCTCGGTGCCTTGACAAGGCCTCGAATCCAAGCACTGCTTTCTACGGGCAGCCTAGAGGTATGGCAGCACCCCAAATCTGAAAACCTTGCTGAAACAGGGGCTAGCCTGAGTGGGGTTGCTACCACCTCGAGCGATAGGCGCCGTTCCTGTCTCCACCTTGGTCAGTGGGACCATTCTACAAGATACCCCCCACACCCATAGACCCCAAGCCCATCTCTCCGTGTTCTTGGACACATCCTAGGTCCCTGAGTGGTACCCGTTTGCCCTTTTTATTTTAGGGCCCCTTACTAAAACCGAATAGAAGGAAAAAGGGTACCCTTTATTATAAAGAGGCTACTTATGAACCAAGCCATCTTTCCAGCCCCGAAGGCCCAATGAAGGCCCAAAGCCCGGAAGACCCAAAGCCCCAAACCCGAAACCTTAGGCCCCAAGCATCACAAACCCTACGCCAACATACCCCTAAGCCCTAAACCCTAAACGCCAAGACCTAAACCCTAAGCCCTAAACCCTAAAACCCTAAACCCGAAACCCTAAAACCCGAAGCCCTAAGCCCTAAAACCCTAAACCTTAAGCCCTAAACAGTTCTAAAACCCATCCCTGAAAGCTTCAGATCCCCCGAAAAAAGGCGCTGCCGCTCCCAGAAAGTTTCACCGCTCCAGGCGATGCTTGCTACATTCCTCTACCAGTGCCTTTGCTGCGGTTTAGGGTTTAGGGTAAGGGTTTGTTCTTTGAGCTTTTCGTTTTTTTTTTTCCCGGGGCTAGTCTAGGAGTTAGAGGTGCCATTAATGATCCTACTATATGCAGGGTCTGTTTGAGTCTATTTGAGGATGCCTTGTTTTCTGAGTCTCTCGCTTGAGTCAATGTAGGACTGGGACTGTGGGCTGAAGTGGGCCGTGACCAGATCAACTGGGGTCTTGTTAAGGGATTTAATTTAAGCTACCATAATAGGGATCTATAGTACATCATAGCGTTTCCTTATTATGGTAATTTAATTATTTAAATCCCTTAACAAGAACCCAGTCAAGTGCAGGACGATAGCGGCTTTACCACTACTGCGCTTGTGCTTCTCGGTAAACGACAGGCCCAAGGATCTAAACATGGCTGAGTATTATGATTGTTATTGTTGCCATTGTTATTACATTTTTATTGCTCCTGCTATAGTAGTTTGTCCAATCCAACGAAGTTGCTTGTCTGTGTGCCGGCGCTTGGCCCCCCACCCTCGATGCTGTCGTCTCAGAATGGCTTTCTGATGGTTTCCGAAAGGAGAGGTGGCTCGTTTAGGAGGTATAGCCTGATCATGTGAGGTTTATGTTGCGGTCCGTCGTTTTCTGAAGCTCCCATGTATTCGCAGCTCCTCTCCTTCCTGCCTAGCATGGAGTTCCAGCAGTCGTTGCTATGGCCTCCTTGCAGGAGTTTGTCCGCGAGAAATCCGACATCTGGTATAAGGATGCTCAGGGAGGTGAGACTCAGGACCGCTGCCGGCTAGCTGCGAAGTATATACGCCTTTGACAAGAATACCTGGGACGAGTTCCAGCGACGGCTCTGAAAAACTCCCAAGCAAGTTCTTAATCGGATCTCCCTTAGCTGTTGTTGACTTGGACACATCGCTAATTCCAGTCGAGTGTGCGCTCGAGTCGGCTCTTCGTGTGCACTCGTCTTGTTCTGAGTGTTGCTCGCCGCGCATCTTTCGTGCTGTTATTCGATGACGATTCGACAGTGTGCCTGGGATTTTGCGGCCCAACATACCGGAAGTCGATAACATCACATGAAGGCTGCTGCCGCAGACAGTAACAACCAGAGCACAAACTACTCAAGGTCCTCGCCGCACTCCCCATTGTCACCATTATCCGAGATGTAGTCCGGATTCCTCTGAATCTGTATGTCCTTCCTTTTGGGGGCTATATGCCGTGATCTGTCAGCGAAGTTGTGCTGTTCAGTCATTGTCTCTACCCGTACATCCGGGGCATTTCCCCAAGTATGCTGCCAGCTGCCCTAGTGGATGGCCCCTCTTTCAACTCAGAGTACCCAAGGTACCCCTTAATTACGGAGCATATACCTTAAAGTATAAGGGGCTTAATATTATGGTTTAAGGTATATCTTCCTTAATTAAGGGGTATTGGGTTCTCTGGGAGTATACTCCATGCGGGGTAGCAGGAGAAGAGTGCATTGACGGTCGGATGTTCTGCACAATGCGAAAGCCAAGGGGTAGCCAGCGGGACTGCTTGAGACGACGCTGCCGTACTCACCCTTCGTGAGGAGTACATCTCACTTTTCGCAGATGACGTCCCGATCGATGGGCGGACGCCGCTGCAGATGTACAGCAACCTGTCATCTTATCCCAGAACAGCCACTGTTTGGGCCGAAGTATTCTACATTCTTCCAATCCCAACTCTTGATCTACAGGACCGAGACCCCTTTGCAAGAAGTTTCGGGTTGCTCGACAGACCCAGAGAACCCAATATACCTTAATTACGGAATATATACACCTTAAAGTATAGGGGCCTTAATTAATATTAATGATTTAAGGTATATTCCTTAATTAAGGTATATTGGGTTCTCGGGGCAGAGCCCACCAAGGATTGAGCTTGACTGACTTCGGAAGTGTTAGTAGAAGTCCGCTGCGCCCTCCTTCCAGCCCCCTGTCTTGAGGAGTGCACCCTGGCAAACTCTATGCTCGGGCAGATTCACATTACTTCGGGGCTGAGTAGGTAACCTTTAACCTTTTTGGGCCTGTATACTCCTACTATAATTCAAAAGGTTAACCTTTTGAAATGGGGGGCTAGGGTACTCAGCCCCTGGGGCTAGCCTTGGTAGGATCCAAAGGTCTTTTTTACTGAAGTTTGAGATCATCAACCCTAAACCCTAAACCCTACGCAAAGGTCTCTTTTTTACTTAAGTTTGGGAGCCCGAAACCCCTAAACCCCCTCAACAACCCAAAACAGACCCTAAAGGAAACGAAGTTTGGGAGCTTCCCCCAAGACACCTTAAATAAGGAATATAGACCTTAAAGTATAGGGGCCTTCATATTAATGGTTTTAAAGGTACTATTCCTTAATTAAGGGGTAGGTTGGGTTCTCTAAACCCTAAAGCCTAAACCCTTATAGAACCCTATAGATCCCTTTAAAGGATCCCTTAAAGG